TGCATGGCAGATAGGGAGGTTTTTCTTTCCAGTCTGTGGCCATCTGGGTACGAGCTGTTCAGGGGGACTTGGGACTCACCCGCTTAGGATTGGAGAGGGGGGTAAGAGATTACCCTAGAGCCTGCCCCAGGGATCCACATGACATCCAGGCCCCTCTGCAGGATGAGTGTGATTGGAGGTTAAAAGCAATAAAGTGCGGCCCTTGTTAACGCCAACACCTGGGTCCGTCTATTTCGGAAGTGGGTGGGAAGAGATTAAATAACATTGGTGGAGGAAAACACTGAATATTAATTTCATGAACTTTAAAATATCAAATGAATAAATCTACAGAGTTTTGGAAATTCATAGCATTACTGCATTGTATTCCAAATTGTCAATAGTCAACAAGGGAACACAGTGGAATATTTTAACTACAAAAATCTCAAATGCTTTCCAGACAAGTTTACATTTCTCCTCTACATTTTCTCTTTTGCATTCTTTTTCAACAGCTCCACAGTTCATCCCAAAAGCAGTCTTGACTACCACTAGCAAATTTCCATCTCCCACCCCTCCAAATGTAGGCTATCCACAAGAATAATCACAGGCCTGACACTATACTGATTTCCTACTGATTCTGCCTCTTATCACACAAGAGGTGAATTACCGAGATAGGGCTCAAATGATCAGCATTGCTGATTTATCAAGAAAACATCAAACTAGCGGCATTCCCATTTGGACATAACAACAACAAAAAAACTCTCCTCTTTCTCTTGATCCTGAAGGATAGAGATCCAAGTTTCCAAGAGCTGCAGATGGAGATGGTATTTGTAGCAATCTGTGCCAGATTGTTACCGCTGATCATACAGATAAAAGGTAAAATGAATGGAAGAAGCAGTGCGGGAAGAATAATCAATTACTGGTCTGGATACAACACAATATCATTGTTTAGAGTTGTTGCATGCATGGTCAGAAGGGCCACAATGACATCCAGCCTCTAATAGGAAAGAGGTGAGAAGACCACTGTCTCTTCAATTGGACGTGTTGGAGTAAGATGTTCCTTGCTTAAAAATTGAAGTTCCTTTTTTCCTTTTTCAGTCTGCATTTCCAAGCAGCAGCAGGAAAGAAAAAGGAAAGGAAGAGAGAGGGAGGGAATGAGCGACAGACCATCAAGACAGATGGATGGACGGGTGTGAGCTCTCCGCGGCAGGTTGCGAAAGGAGATGGGGTGGGGAGCACGCGTGAGAAGGCTGTTCTCTCAGCATCACCCCTTCCCACAGCACGTCTGGACAGGCAGCGGAGGAGCGCCAGGAGGGAGGAAGGAGAAGCGCGCAGCCAGGTTGCGAGTGGGGCCCCTCCTTCACTTCAGCCACAGAGAGGACGAGGCGACAGCAGCAGCAGCCTCGCCAGGTGATCCGCGAAGAGCAGGGGGTGGGGGAGAGAGAGAAAGATAAAAGTAGAAGCCCGGTGGTGCCAAACCCCTGAGGAAGAAGACCGCTGCGCAGGGAGAGGGCTTCCCTTCTGGGCGCTTCGGAGGGCAGGCAGGACCCAGCCCCTACAAGGCAGGGAGGAAGGCCCACACTTGCCAAGTAGGTGCCGCCACCGCTGCTGCTCTCGCTCCAGGTTGGGCTGAAATTAGAAGCCAGGCAGATTTTGTTGCAAGCGCAACACGCCCATCCATGAGCATGACACACCCCTCCACAAATGCAACACGCCCCTGTGCGTGCGTGTAGGGGGGTGGAGATCTGTGTCCATGGCCCAGTTAAAGGAAGCCCATGGACCGGCACCGGGCTGCAGACCGGGGGTTGATGACCACTGCTCTAAATCAGTGGTTCTTAACCTTTGTTACTCTTTGATCTCCGTTTCCCTTTTAAAGCTTTTTCCGATGCCCCTTTTCACTCCTGTAAAAGTGTCTTAAACTGTTTGAAGCCTGTTTTAAATGCTTGCAATCATCAGCCCACCTCCTGAACCCTATGCAAACTTAATTTCTTGTTGTTCTGAGTCTTCGTTAATTTTTGGTGATTTTTTGTTTTCTCTCTCATTGAAATGTATTGGACGGACAGTTCAATAGAGTTCAATGAGGGAAAAACAAAAAAACCACCAAAAATTAACAACGACTCAGAACAACACCAAATTAAGTTTGCATAGGTTTCAGGAGGTGGGCTAATGATTGCAAGCATTTAAAACAGCTTTCAAACAGTTTAAGGCACTTTTAAATGAGGGAAAAGAGACATCGTCGTGTGAAAATCCCCCATAGGAAACATCGTTGTGTGAGACGGCAAATTTATCAGAAAAAGCCATTGTTGTGTGAATTCATCATTGTGTGAGGCACCCGTTGTGTGAGGCACCACTGTACGTCAGTTTGTCAGGTGAATAATTCACTTCCTTTTTGTTAATGGAGAATTCTCAGCAATCCGTATGTGAAACAGGAACAGAAAAAGGAAAATTCAGTTTCTCTTCTTGTCTAGTCCCAATCCTTTGCAAAATAACCTCTCTTCTCTTCAAAGAAAAAAGAGGAAAGCAAACAAACAAGTGAGTCACTCTGGAGTTCCCTTGGCAGAAGGGTGGAAGAGAGGAGGGGGAACCTGCCTCCATGCTCCTGCAAGGTATGGAAAACTTGATTTATCCCAAACCTTCACCCCCCACTCAGTCCCTACATCTGAATTCATCCACTATCACACTGACCTGTCTTCCACAAACCTCCCTCCCTCCTGCAAGGTATGGAAAACTTGATTTATTGTCATTTATAAAAATTATATTTGATTGTTTATTTCAATTCTACGTCCAAATTGTCAGTAGCCTCTCAAGTTCCTGATAGTTCAGCACTAAAAGGTGAATTTGGTCTGCTCTTACTGGCATTAATTGCCTGCCAGCCCCAAGGTCATGTCTTCTGAACTGTCTAGGCCAGCGATGGTAAACCTATGGCATGTGTGCCACAGCTAGCACGCAGAGCCCTCTCTGCGGACACACGAGCCATAAGTCGCTGGATCACTACCCCTGGCAGCCAAACCTGAGGAGGAGGCTGCAGCCACGGTGCAAGTGCCCCGACAGGCAGCAGGCCAGAATCCGGAGCAGCTGGTGCTGGTGAGGTTGGGCACAACTGGAGGCGGATCCAGAGTGGGGCCTGGAGGCACCTCCGTGCCCAGGATTCCCCCTTCTGCTGCCCCACCAGGTATTTTTCCCAGTTTGGGCACTCGGGCTCAAAAAGGTTCGCCATCACTGGTTTAGGCAGTCAAAACAATGTCCAGCTATGTCCACCTGCCAAAAAAACCCTTCTCTTGAAGAGGAGGGGTGTATGGTTGATATTCCACCTCCTGCCTTTTATACAAAAAAAATCTCGCTGGGACACATACAAAGCACACAATGTTATCAGCAAGCAATCATTTCCACTTGAAAGATCCCAGATACAGTGGGCCCTTGACTTACGAACGACCCTAGTTGCGAACATTTCGGGTTACGAACCCAATCTCATCACAAGTAGTACACCCTACTTGCGAATGCGGATCGGGTTACGAACCCAAAAGGCAGAGAGAAAGGGCGGGAAATTCGAATTTCCTGCCCTTCCTCCCTGCCTTTGGAGCTTTCAAAGGGCTTCCTTCAATGTTGGGGGAAAGCCCTTTGAGAGCTCCGAAGCCGCCGATCGCGGCGGCGGGGACCTGGGAGGATCGTGGCAGAGGGAGGGCATGGAGGAGGAGGAGCAGCAGCTCCCTCACCCGTCTGTGGCTTCTTGGCATAGTGCGAAAACCTGGGAGGATCAGGGCGAAGGGTGCGCGTGGAGAAGCAGCAGCAGCTCCCTCCCCTGCCTGTGGCTGCTCGGCCTGTCGCCTTCCCTGATCTCTGTGGAGCATGGCGCGAAAAGCTGGGAGGATCAGGGCGGAGGAAGGGCGTGGAGGAGCAGCAACAGCTCCTTCTCCTGCCTGTGGCTGCTCGGCCCGTCGCCTTCCCTGATCTCTGTGGAGCATGGCACAAATGGCTACCAAAGGCAACCTTTCCCTCCCTGGATTGCTCGGCTGCTTCACTGCTGGCTGGCTGGTACGCGCGCTCACCCACTCAGAGGATTCGGGTTACGTCTCGGAGCTGGACCATCAGCGGAGGCACAGCATTCTTGTCCCCCTTGGGTCGTAAGAAGAGACCAGCTCAAAAGTTGGCGAGATTTCACAGAGAGCTGGGGGGGGCAGACTGAATGCAGGAGAGACTGGCACGGGGGAGTGGGGAGGAAGGACTGGACTTTTCTAGGCAGAGTTGGAGAAAACGTTTCGGACAACTCCCTAGATCCCCCAAAACTAACTTTCCCAGGCTCTGCTATTGATGGTTTAAATCCAGAACGGATTGTTTTTCAATGCATTCCTATGGGAAATGCTGGTTCTAATTACGAACTTTCCCACTTACAAACGTCCTTCCGGAACGGATTAAGTTCGTAAGTAGAGGGCCCACTGTAGTTCAAAACACCAACCTTTTAGAGGCAGTGTGATTGTGCATTGAGAGCGTGCTTCCTCTGTTATACTGTTTTTTAAAAGTAACTGATTTAATTTACTGTGTATTTATTCTGTTAAAGGTGTATATTTTGGGGTAGGGGTGTTTCGACTGGTTTGGACTTAGATACTGGGCTGTATGAATGTGGTAACAGAAATATGTGCCTGACTACATACGTCTAATGACAGTTTTTCTTTGAAATGTACTGTTGCCTGCTTTTGGATTTGAATGATTTTCTGTCGTCTTTCCTCTCTGCTTTTTTGGATTAATTTCCAAGGGTGTTATAGGGCTGAATTTGAACTAGCATCAGGAAAAAGAATGAGGAAACCTGAAATGAAATAATCCAAAAGAGCCAGTCTCTTTTTTTTTTTGTTAAATTAGTTGTTGCACAAAAAATGAATTGTGCACAAAAACAATTATATGAAAACAAACGAGGCACCTGAAATGTAAGATATGATTTTTTTTAAACCGAGCATATCTCTATTCAAGCATTCCAGTTCAGTCATGGAAGATAACTGTAAAAGTGTTCGATGGAGAAACCCTTCACTCACCTGCGGCTGGTCTCCATCATGCACCTCTGGAAACTCAGGGGATAGAATAAGCTTGTCCTCTGAACCATCACTGCGGATGCAAAATTTGGGTAGGCTGAAAACAAAAGTATGGATATTGGTTTTGCATATACCTATGAAGCTGAACCTCCACATAGAGACACAAGAAACTACTTTATACCAAGGCAGACTATCAGTCCATCTAGCTAAATAAAGAGGTTACTTACCTGTAACTTTGGTTCTTCGAGTGGTTCTCTGTGAATTCACACTAATGGGTTAATCTGCGCTTGCGCAGAAGGTCTCGGAACATTCTAGAGCTTAAAGTAACACTTTTGGCTCCGCCCCCCAGGACCTCATGGTCCGCCCGCCCTAACAGCCACTCAGTTCCCCAAATTCCGCTGCTGCTCTAAAGGCGAGACAGTCGTGACGGAAAGTGGGGAGGATGGGCGGGCCGTGTGAATTCACAGAGAACCACTCGAAGAACCAAAGTTACAGGTAAGTAACCTCTTTTTCTTCTTCGTGGTCTCTGTGAAATCATACTAATGGGTGACTAGCAAGCTTACCTCTGAAAGGAGGAGGGAGACGTCACGGCAGCACCGCCGACAGGACAGCCCGACCAAACCGCGCATCTTCCTTGGCTCGCAGGTCGAGTCTGTAGTGAGATGCAAATGTGGAAGGCGTGGACCACGTAGCGGCTTTACAGACGTCTTGAAGAAGAACTCCACGGAGAAAAGCTGTGGAAGCTGCGACAGCCCTGGTGGAATGGGCTCTGACAGACGACGGCAGAGGCTTCTTGGCTAGCTCATAAGCCAGATGAATGACTTGAACTATCCACCGAGATACAGTCTGTGGAGATACCTGTTGGCCTCTATGAGGTTGTTGATAAGAGACAAACAGGCGCTTGGAGAGGCGAAACGAGGAAGTTCGCTGAACATAAAAGGCCAACGCCCTACGTACGTCGAGCAGATGAAGGGACTTCTTGACGGGAGAAGAAAGCTGAGGAAAAAAGGTTGGTAAGATGATAGGTTGCCTGACATGAAAGTCCGTAGTAAATTTGGGTAAAAACGACACGTCAGGGTACAAAACCATCTTGTCACGGAAGAACTGTAGGAAAGGTGGGTCGATTCTCAAAGCAGCCAATTCAGAGGCCCTCCGGGCCGAGGTAATAGCGACCAAGAAAACCACCTTGAGAGTGAGGAGACGTTCAGAAACAGTCGCCAACGGTTCAAAGGGTGGCTTAGTAAGACAGTTTAGTACCGTATGGAGGGACCATTGTGGGATTGGATTGATTGTGGGCAGCCGAAGGCGTACAACCCCTCGAAGAAAACGTTTGATCTTCGTGTGCCTGAATAAAAGAGCACTGTCAGACTCAGGTGGTTGATGTGCTACAACGGCAGAGAGATAGACCTTCAGTGTTAAATGAGAAAGGTTCATCTGAAAAAGGTAAGCAAGAAATTGTAAGACAGTATGGAGCGTCGCAGGGGACGAGGGTAGCCCACGAAGAGCGGTGAACTTCAGAAAGGCCTTCCATTTACCACCATAGAGGTGATCGGTAGACGATTTGCGGCAATGGGCGAGGACGTGAGCTATCGTGGAAGTATCCTCCACGCCGTGAGGTGGAGAGAATGCACGTCCGGGTGATAAGTTGTCCCCTCGTTCTGGGTCAGCAGATGCGGAAGGTAAGGTAGCCTGATGTACTCTGTCGCCCTCGTAATGAGCCTCGCAAACCTCGGCTGGTGGGGCCAGAATGGAGCAACCAGAATGACATTTGCGTTGTCGTCGCAAATCTTTACCAGTGTCCTCAGCAGAAGGGGAAACGGGGGAAACATGTACAGGAAGTGGTAGCTCCACGACACCATCAGAGCGTCACCCTGAGAGTTCGATCCCTGTCCACCCCTGGAGAGGAAGATGGGGCACTTGGCGTTGAGGTGTGTGGCGAAAACATCCACCGCCGGGGTTCCCCATCGCTCGCATAGAATCAGGAATACTACTTGGTCCAGTGTCCATTCGTGCATCGTAACAGCAGTCCTGCTGAGACGATCCGCAAGTATGTTGTTGTGAGTGGATATGTAGACAGCAGATGGAAAGACATGATGTCGGAGACACCACTCCCATAGCTGGACAGCAAGGTACAGGAGGGAAAGGGAGTGGGTACCTCCTTGTTTGTTGACATAAGCGACAGCCGTCGTGTTGTCTGAGACTACTTGGAGGGCTGTGCCCTCGATAAGGGGCAGAAATGCACGGCACGCCTTGAAGATGGCAAGAAGTTCCCGATTGTTGATGTGCAAGGCACGCTCCTTCAGAGACCAACGGTTGTGGACCTGCAAGCCGCAGCAGAGAGCACCCCAGCCTATGTCGCTGGCGTCCGTCGTAATCCGCGTTTTTAGAACAATGGGAGCAAATAAACGCCCCATGAACAGATTGGCCGGATTGACCCACCATCTTAGTTGCTCTGTCAACTCCTTCGATACCAGGAGCCTCTTCTTGGGGGAGTCCAGAAGGGGGTTGAAGAGTGACAGGAGCCACGCCTGGAGCGACCGAAGTTTCAGCCTCGCATGAGGGATGACCAAAGTAGTGGAGGCCATCAGTCCCAGAAGCTTCTGAGCAGTATGTGCGGTGACAT